AGTTGCTTACGTTGGACCAACAATGGGCCAGCATAGGAATTCCGTCATGGTCGAGAAGGTTGACTTGGTAACATTGCTCTAACGTTGGCCCAACGTTGTTCCCCCAACGCCAACCATACAACCTTTAACAAATGTTGGCCCAACATAGTCATGCTATCTGGGATATAAGGCTCAACTTGACCGCTCGTTGTACATATCGAGCACGCAATCGATATCGAACACACGCGGTTTCAGAATGGACTCCCAACCAATTCAGGTTAAGGCCGGTTTAAGGCCGGTTTACACGGTAAAGCAAGCTGTATACAGCTTGTCGTATACAACTTCTGTAATATGTTACCTACCTGTACACACGGTAAAACAGGTTTATATTCAATTCTTTGTTATGCAAACAAATAAAACGCCCTTATAAGGTTCGATTTAATCGACATGGAAACATTGGAAGAGGAACAATGTGTTATTTTAATTTGTATCATCATCATCATGTCTGCATTACATTTGAGCCAACAAAGAAGGGGGAGACCTTGGGTAAGGCAGTGGATTGGGAGGAGGGACAACCTTGGTGCATACCATGCACTCATTGCAGAGCTTAGGGATGAAGATCCTTCGTCTTTGAAGAATTTTCTGCGAATGGATTTTGCAACCTTTAATGAGCTTCTGCAGTCTGTCTCGCCATTGATACAGAGGAGAGATACCCTCATGAGAGATGCAATTTCTCCTGCAGAGAGACTTGCTCTAACCCTGCGTTTTTTGGTCACTGGTAAAAGGAATTAATATATAGCTAGCATACTGGTATACGAATTAGTAATACATATATTGCTTAAATGATAAGCTTGCATTCATGCACATTGATATATATATATTATATAACATATATTTTATCACTGAGTTGGATTAACCAACTCTTTTCAAACAATTTACTTACATTTGTTTCAGGTGATAGCTATCGCTCTCTCGAGTATCTTTATCGCATTCCTGTATCTACAGCCTCTACGATAATACCAGAAACGTGTATTGCAATATATAACGCTTTGAAAGAAAATTACTTGAAGGTAATACGCTTTATTTTCATATGAAATGCTGTTTTTTTATTGTCGTATATGTGACAAAAAGCAACATTATTAAAAGTAATTGGAAGCATTGCCTGATGTTTCTGCATCATAAACACACGGATTCCAAAGTGGTATGCGCTGTTTAATTACATTTTGGGGGGACACATTCTGTTGTTGTATTTGAGTAAATTCACTTTGGGATTGACTTTGAGCAACGTCGTCTTTGTCTTGAGCTTCAAATATGACGCGCTGCAATTTGATTTTCACTTCGTTTTTTATTCTCTTTGATTTTATTTTCTCTAGCTCATTTGCCAAATACGTAGCAAAAACATGGTCTTCTTTTTTATTTTCTGTGACAATGCTTACTGGAGCTGTAGCTGTGTTTCTGTTCTTGATTTTGTTGAGAACATCTACGGCTTCAGACATCACCGCCATAGCTCCTGTAGATTTCCTCTTTTTGCCCTTCCCCTCATCTGAATCACACGTTTCTTTGGATTCTTCATCATCTTTCTCCACTGAACTGCAATCCTACATAAGAAACATATGATGTGTACATGTATAAATGTTTTTCTATTTCAGATCCCACAAACACAACAAGAGTGGATGGCTATTGCGAATAGTTTTGATGAACAATGGGACTTTCCCAATTGCATTGGAGCTATTGACGGAAAACATGTTTTGATTAAGTGTCCAACAGGGAGTGGTTCAACCTACTTTAATTATAAAAATCAGTTCAGTATTATTTTGTTAGCATTAGTTGATGCTGATTATAAGTTTTTATACGTTGACGTTGGAACTAATGGAAGAGCCAATGATAGTGGCATTTTGGCAAGGTCTGCCTTGATAGAAATGATAGAAAGTGGCAATATGAATTTACCGCCTCCCCGCCCACTTCCTGAGCGTCAATTAGAGGTACCATTTGTCATTGTAGGTGATGATGCCTTTCCCCTTAAACCTTATCTTATGAAACCCTTCCCCAAAAGACAATTAGACTTAGAAAAGCGCGTATTTAACTACAGACTGTCCCGGGCAAGACGGATTGTTGAAAATGCATTTGGAATTTTGTCTAGTCGCTTCGGTATTTTCCAAAAGCCATTGTCATTTGATCCTGACAAAGTCAAGATTTTTGTTTTAGCGTCTTGTGTTCTGCACAATTATCTGAGATCGAAGGATTCAGCGAGACAAATATATACACCGGAAGACATGTTAGAGGAATCTGACAAAAGATGCAGCACTGAAATGGTAGGTAGCTGTTTGAGGGGTACTCAGCAAGGTGGCAACAGATGCAATTCTGATGCAAGATCTGTGAGAGATGAGTATTGTGACTATTTTAATACCAATGGCAGTGTTGAATGGCAATGGGATTTATCATAAACTTACCAAATTGCTGACAGATTTTCTAGGTGTTATCTGTGGTCTCAGAAATGCGTCCAGTGAGTCGAAGTACATCCACTTACTTTTGTACAAATCATCGGTACTTGCTCCACTTTTTGTACTCTTGTTTGTTTTTGCCAGTTCCCTAGCGTAATAGGATCGGAGATGTTGAAGCTTTTGATTAATTTCTAAAACTATAAGAAACAAACAACTGAATCATGTTCAATAAAACTAAATACAGACACTAGTATAATTATGTTTTCTTCTTTGAATTATGCTGGATATTAATTATAAAACAGGTATTAGTATGGTCGGATGAATAGATGCGAACAACTTCCTCCCACCCAATTACTATAAAAATAAATAATGCATCATAATAGTTTTTGATAATTCAATAATTTATATTTGTGATTTTTTTTATTATTTACAATATATTTACAATCATACCAGTAAATTTTCCATGCATTCCTTCGCTGACTCTTTCCAGCGCTCTTTGTCTAAAATCTTTTTTGGAATAACTGGGGGTACTTATGTCCCATAGGTCACTTTCCCCTTGATAGAGAATTATCAAATCGTCCATTTCCTCCTTACTCCAAGTACAATGTTCTTTTTTCTTGGAGCACGCCATATCTCATGTACAGGTACACGTATAAAGAGGTTGAAGTTTTCTTAAAAATAACGAAGTGGTCCGTGAAGCATAAATAGATCAACCGAATCCCAGGCCTCTGATTGGCCAGAGAAAAAAAATTTCATACAACTTGCTGTATAGAATAGAGACACTTTCTATTCGAACGCGTGGAATATATGATTTCGGGGAGCTTTAAATTCCGTGTAATAGCGGCGTACACACGGTGACATTTTGCTGTATACGACAAGGTTTATACAGCTCGCTTTACCGTGTAAACCGGCCTTTACACGGTAAAGCAAGCTGTATAGACCTTGCTGTATACAGCAAAATGTTTTAGTATGACAACTTACATTTTGAAATTAAAAGTAGTATGATCCGTAGTTTTTAAAACTTTTACATCATTACGCAGTGAAACGTTTTTAGAGATAAATCAAATTATCATTACTTGATGAGCGTATGCAAGATTGGCTTGGATTTCCAATTTAATGATGATGATGACGATGATACAAATTAAAATATACAGTATATAACAGATTTCTCCTCTTCCCATGCTTCTATGTCGACTGATTCGAACCTGATTAGGGCGTTTTATTTGTTTGCATAACAAAGAATTGAACATAAACCTGTTTTACCGTATGTACAGGTAGGTAACATATTACAAAAGTTGTATACGACAAGTTGTATACAACTTGTATTACCGTGTAAACCGGCCTTTAGCACGGGATTATATGAAATAGCTTGATTCAGGCACGTAGCAAGGGGGGGGGGGTCCAGACATAACTTTTCCTATCGAAATGTTCATTGAAAGGCTGACCCCCCTGCCACTTTTTACTACAGTATATGAATATGTAGTTTTGTACGGGGGGAAATGGAACTGGAAGAAATTGGTATTGAAAAAAAAACGATGCTATGTAAGTGATTTAATGGGGAAATGGTATTGGGAAGATATTAAAGCTACTGAACTAATGAATATCCTTGTAACAAGAATCTATATTTTTGAAAAATGATTGTGTTAAGATGACAAGACCCTAGTCAGCAGGCGTAGGTATAGGGGTAGTCAAGAGTCAAATAAAAATTTGATGAAAATTGTGACTTAAATCTGTATTCAAAGACAAGGTTCATCTCTTATATACATGACGATAGTTGTATTTTCTGTCTGTACCGAAATGTGAAAAAAAAAATTCAGAAAGGCGATAAAAGATAACTGTGGAAAAAAAGTGTAGCAAGGCCTAGAAAGTTTTAATATAATTGTAAACAGCACGTGGCTTTGAATAGTTTCTTTTTGTGTGCTAAAAAAACCCAATGAAGACACACCCATATAACTGTCAACTGAACCAATCAGACACCGTTAAATATTTCAGAAATAGAAGAATTCTTCACCATGAAGAATCGATTCTTCGCGAGAAATAGAAGCATTTGATTGGCTGAATAAGTAGGTTATGTTCTAAAACAAGGTTTTGACAAATAGACTGATACAAAACCTTTAAATGCTTCTTTTGGATTCAAATTTTTGCAAATTTTATTGTCGATACAATGGCCTTGTACAAAAAAATTACAACCAATCCTTTGTCATTGACAAGTGGTGTTCATGTAATTTCTTATGCCATTATTTTTACACTGAATTGAAGTTTCTACGGATTATTCCTTTGATTGATTTCCATGTGATAAACTCCACCCTTTTCACTGCCGGGAATTGTATTTTTATGACGGGGGGAGGGGGGCAATGGCACATTATAAATTGGATACTATTAAATATAATAATATATAAAAATAAAAAAAATAATAAATATTGATTTAAATAAATGAAAACTAATTCAAACAATGATGGTAATGTTTACATGATAATAATTTATATAGTGTAATTAAAATTTTAGTTTGAAATAATGACAAAAAAATCGACTAAAATTGAAATCGTTTGCAAAATTCTTTGTTTGAAAATATTTTTTTACCATTGCATCTTGCTCCAAAAAAGCCCTTTTCACAGACGCAGACGGGGAAGTCAAAAGTGGAAGAAACAAATTGACATTGCCCGCGTGGACCACATTCGTCTTCTCTGTTGTTTAGTGAACACGCACCCACTACAAAGGAAATGTTATTAACAGAATTAATGTATTTCAGCAAATTTGAAAAAAAAGAATTCAACTCATTTATTGAATACAGCTATAAAGAGGGAGATCGCTGACATCTCAGTTCCTTAAAACGTATTACTAGAAATCATTATCGGCCGAAGGAGCGACCGATCTATTTTTGATTGTGTTACATTGGGAAATGAGGCGTTGCCTCGATAAAATAATTTTTTATCGATAACAAACATAAAAGTCATGAATAAAAGTTTTTTTTAATTGCTTTATACGCCGTCTTTATGGTTGTTATTAGGTTTAAAGTGTTTTCCATTTCTATCCGATTTGCGATTAATTTATGTCTTTATAAAAAGTTGTTTCCATAAACTGCTTCCTAAGATGCAAACTCCGGCGTGCATAAGACACGGAACTTTTGAGTCCCCAAATATAAATAACAAAACCAATAAACTGTATGTTTTTAACAAAAAGGCCTTAAGAAATATTGTTTTGAAAACTTTTATTATTACAGTTGCAAATGTCACAATAAAGGATTTTTTTGCACTTCACATATATATTTTAATATATGATCGACATTTTCACATGGCTAACAAAGATCCACGATATCAGCATGCTGAATATCCTTTTTATGTATGCATTCAGACATTTTAAATTAGGCATTTTTGATACTTGTGACACTAGTATTTGATTGAATAATTCTATGATGATACTACCCTATCCAATATCCACAATTCATTTACTTCGTTTGATCACACTGATAAACAAAAAGAAACCTTGCATGGTACATTGTATTTTTGTCCCTATGTATTCTTTTTGTGAAAATTCATTAAAATGCTAAAATGATAAATTATTTTTGTTGTTGTCGAATTGATGCTTTGTATCAGTTTAAATTGTATACGTGTATGTTTTAACATTACCAAATATTTTCTTTAGGATTTTTTGCAAATTAGAAAATGTTCGTTTTCTCGTGAAATAGCGTTGAATAAGTAATAATATCTATATTGATATGTAATTTAAAGTAAAAATGTATCTTTAAAAAAAAGAGACTTCATGACGTATATGAACTACGACGCGTCAGGCCAGCATATTTTTCACGAAGTCCATGTTCACCAAAACTAAATTAATTTCTTAATTTTTTAATGAAACTCTTACCTTGGCACGCCACATTACCAATTACTGAGAAAGCCGAAATTGCGGCAGAAGTTTCGTCACAGAAGCACCGGTTTTGATCCAAATTGCAATTTGCATTTTCTATACATTCTGAGTCATCATTACAACTGCCAACTGATGGATTAGTCTGAGCCAAAGTATTTTGCCAGTGTAATATTATACCACCAACAAGTAGAAACGTTCTTAATAGGGACCTCTTCATCGTTGTATCTGAAGGCAGGGACTGAAATGAACACCATATAAGTACCATGAAATATGCAAATTAACCCTATGTACAAGGGTTATCAAAAAATAATACAATTTGATAGAAGATAGAAGACATTACTATTGGTAATTGATACCACTGCGTTTTTTTACCTGTTTAGGCCATTCCAAGTATTTTCTCTGTTTAGCGTCCACCCATCTTGCAAAAACCTACCTACCTATTCGCAAAAAACACACAAGCCAAAAGATAAAACACAGGCTTAAAGTAATAAAAATGACGCCCTTCAAATGATTTGATCTAACTAAACTGCTTTAATAGAAGAAATATCTATTTTAAGCAAAAACAAGGGATTAAATGCTTAAAATACACCAAATCTAACTTACTGTACAGAATTATTTGGAGAAATTGACAAAATTCAAAAATTTCGACTAAATTACTAGTAATCAATTTCAGGACTCCTGATGTTGTGTGTTTTTCTTATATGGGGTGTCAAAAACCAAGGCGCACGCGGACGCTAAACATAGAAAAAAACTTGGAATGGCCTTAGGTTTTTATAACCTGACTATTGATTTGTTGTGATTTGTGACTAATTTTTGTTTGCTACATTCTTTCGACGACAGGAGATTTAGTAGAACCTTCTTCTAAAGGGAATGGGTTAAGGGGAAAAGCATTTAACCAATGCGAACCACAGTATCTTTCTATAATTTTATGTGTAATTGTTTATAAATAATTTAGCTTTTTCATAATTCTGTACTAATGATATTTTATTTTTGTCTCAGATTAAAGTAAAGCATTAATTCGGAAGAGGAGGGGGGGGGGTGAAACCAAAGAAAAGAGTATTTTGAAAGAATTGAGGAAAGGGAGTGTTTTAGTGCTATTCCATTTCAAAGGCTTCTGCAGAGTCTCAAGATGTCGTTCAGAAGCGAAAGTGTCAAAATGGACATAAATTTTGAATTTTTTGTCCCTTGACATTTTGACCTCAAAATCAATAGGGGTCTTTCTTATGTCATTGTGAGTTATTGTGTAAAATTGCTTTGCAAATGCGCAAATGCTTCTTGAGATATCGCGTGAAAACGAAAGTGTTACGCACAGACAGAACTAGAGACGGACGAACAAACGGACTGATTGAGAGACCAAATAATATCCCCCAGTTTCAGCGGGGGACAAAAAGGCTCAATCGGGATTGGAACATGCAAAGCGGAAACTTTCTTGTCGGCCATTGAGGAACTTGATATGGCGAGAAATTAAAACCAAACAATATCGTATACATGTTAAATAATTATGTAACATCACGTTCCTATTGTTATGGGTCAGAATAACCCTAAATGCCAGCAAAGATCAATCACACAGTTTAAACTTAACAATAATTTATTTACAGTAATATACAAATCATTAAGTACAAACTTAGCAAAAATCTAAAAATACATACATCAGAGTGTCCGTTGCTGCACACAATGTCCCAGTGAAAATATATATCCCAGTTATATCTCAATAGTGCTTATACGACAAAGTATTGTATATGCATCGAATTGACAGGGTATTTATATAGTAGCATAAATCTAGAATATTCTAGAAATTATTAAAACATGATATTACTGGAACAATCTGGACATACACAAAATTTAAGAATGTTCTAGATCAAATGACCGAACATGTTGACCACTCTGGAATGTTCAAGAAACTTAATGTTACTAATTATATACATAATGAAATAATACAAATACAACACACCTCACAACACCTCCCCCCTTAAAAAGTTTGAATGTCAATGAAAACTTATATTGTTAAAATGAAATATATGTACATTAATACAAAATCATATATGTTCACGATACTCTGGACAAGGCATCTGCAATAACATTGTCTTTGCCTTTGATATGCTTAATAGTTATATTGTATTCTTGTAACAACAAACTCCATCTAGTCAGTCTTTGATTTTTGTTTGACAATTTATGCAAAAATGTCAGGGGGTTGTGATCCGTATATACAAGAATTGGATGCAAAGTAACATTCAGATAAACATCAAAATGCTGTAAGGCTAACAACAAAGAAAGGCATTCCTTTTCAATGGTGGAATACTTTTGTTGACATTTTGTAAGTTTCTTTGAAAAATAAGAAACAACTCTATCTACCTTATCACTATGTTCTTGAAACAAAGCTGCCCCGATTCCAACATCACTAGCATCAACAGTAAGCTTGAACTGCTTAGAAAAATCTGGAGTTGACAGAACTGGGTTGCTCATAAGGACAGATTTGATTTTATGAAATGATTTTTCACAGTCCTTTGTCCATTCAAAGTTAACCCTCTTTTGTAAAAGATTTGTAAGTGGACTTACAACTGAGGAAAAATTTGGACAAAATTTTCTGTAAAACCCAGCCATGCCCAAAAACCTCATTAACTCTTTCTTGTTTGTAGGAATCGGGAACTTTGCAATAGCTTCCACTTTAGCCATTATGGGTGTAACATAACCTTGACCTACTTTATGACCTAAATACTCTACATAAGCATGACAAAATTCGCTCTTCTCAAGGTTCACAGTTAAGTTTGCTTTAGCTAAAATGTCAAATAAAGCACGCATGATTCGGAGATGTTCGTCCCATGTGTCGCTGTATATGACGACATCATCAATGTAGGCCTCGCATCCCTCGAGGTCTTGAAGGAGGGAGTGAATCATCCTTTGGAATGTAGCCGGTGCGTTTTTCATGCCAAAAGGCATTACTTTATACTGGTAAAGTCCATCTGGTGTAGCAAAAGCAGATATTTCTTTTGCTCTTTCTGTTAACGGTACTTGCCAGTAGCCTTTCAACAGGTCAAATTTACTGACAAATTTCGCGTTTCCAATGCGGTCAATACAGTCATCGATTCTAGGTATTGGAAATGAATCAGTTTTGGTAACAGAATTCACCTTTCTATAGTCTGTACATAATCGGTACGAACCGTCCTGTTTTGGTACAAGAATACATGGTGAGCTCCAATCACTTTTACTAGGTTCAACAATGTCATTGTCCAACATGTACTGCACTTCCCTTCTTAGGTACTGCAATTTTATTGGATTCAGACGGTACGGATGTTGTTTGATAGGCAGAACGCCACTCACTATGACATCATGACAAGCTGCATTAGTTTTCTTTGGAACATCCGAAAAGATTTGATGATACTCATTCATCAAGTTTTTAACTTGTTCTTTTTGGTGAATGTTCAAATGTCCAAGTTTGGCATCCAAATTAGCCAAAACTTCTGAGTTTTTCAAACGAACACTCTGATTACAATCTTTCTCATTCATCTCTACACTCGTATCACTTTCAATACAATTTTGAACAGTCTTAGCATTGGCTAAAGTGGAAACTGGTTTTACAGAATTTCGGTCACACCTTTCAAAATACTCTTTTAACATGTTAATGTGACAAACCCGTTTCTCTTTACGTCGACCTGGTGTCTTAACTACATAGTTTACATCACTGATCTTGCTTTCAATTTCATAAGGGCCATAAAATCTGGCCTGTAAAGGATGACCAGGAATAGGTAAAAATACAAGAACCTTATCACCTGGCTTAAACACCCTATTTCTGGCATCTTTGTCATACCACATTTTCATTTTCATCTGAGAATTCTTCAAATTGTCTTGTGCTAATTTACAAGCATTGTAAAGTTTTTCTTTGAAATCAGACACATAATCTAAAAGATTAAGATCAGTAGTCTCAGTCAGCCACTTTTCCTTCAACAATTTCAAAGGACCTCTAACTGTATGACCGAACACCAATTCAAAAGGACTGAACCCAAGAGACTCCTGGACTGCTTCTCGTGCAGCAAATAGTACAAGATGAACCCCTTCATCCCAGTCTTTTTCATACTGGTAACAATAGGTCTTCAGCATTGTTTTTAGGGTTTGATGAAAACGTTCTAGCGCTCCCTGGGACTCAGGATGATAAGCAGTTGATCTATATTGCCTTATACCCAACTCATGCATGACTTGCTGGAACAACCCCGACATAAAATTTGAGCCTTGATCCGACTGAATTGCCTTTGGTGCTCCTACAAAACTGAAGAACTTGATTAGGGCCTTAACTATGCTCTTTGCCTTTATATTCCTAAGAGGTATGGCTTCAGGGAATCGAGTGGATGTACACATAATGGTAAGTAAATACTGGTTCCCAGATCTGGTCCTAGGCAAAGGTCCTACACAATCCACCAACACTCGACTAAACGGTTCTTCAAAAGCTGGAATTGGTTGGAGAGGGGCGGATGGTATCTTCTGATTCGGTTTACCTACCATCTGACAGACATGACACGACTTACAAAACTCAGAAACATCCTTCCTTAGCTTAGGCCAATAAAAATGACTCAAAATCCTATTATAAGTCTTATTGATACCTAAATGACCAGCCATAGGTGTATCGTGAGCTAAACTCATGACATCTCGACGATAAGCAGCTGGGACCACTATCTGGTGAACAACACGCCACACTTCATCTGGGGGAGCGTCAGGTGGTCGCCATTTTCGCATAAGGATGCCATCTTTCATATAGAAGCATTCTCCAACTTTAGTAGCCTCTTCTGGTGGAAGTGCCCTCTTACTAAGTTGAATGATATCTGGGTCTTTATGTTGTTCAGAGAGTAAACGTTCTCGGCTGAGGATGTCCTTGCCTTGACTAACTAGTGGATGCAACTCATCATCCTCACCACCAAATTTTGGTAACAGTTCTTTCTTCTCTTGCTTCTTGATATTGTGTGGTTCCATGCTTGTTTGAGTGCCATCAAGGTCAGATAAGAAAGTGTCATTCAAATCAATATCAACAGAGGAATTCGTCTCGTCAAAGGCTTGAGTATGGTCTGCCTCCATTTCTCGTCTTCTGGCCATCGCTCTAGTAACAGCACAGGCTGGATAAATGTCATCATCTTCATCATCGCACATGACATCTGGAGTGATTTTCTCACAAACTATAGGATCTGGTACAACTTTTCCACCAGCTAAATCGTTGCCTAGCAACAAAGAAATGCCTGGAACAGGAAGAGTAGGTCGAACACCTACGAT